TCTGTTGCCACATGACCTTCTCCCTGGGTGCAGATTTTTCTCTTCTTATAAGGACATCACCAGTCATTGACTACGGCCCACCCTAGTCCAGTATCACCTCATCTAAAAATACTATATCTGGGAAGACCCAATTTCCAATAAGGTCACAGTCTCCGGTACTGGGAGTTTAGGACTTGAACATACCTTTCTGGAGGACACAATTTAACTCACAACACATAGGTTCAATTTTTTTTCTGATAATCTCCAAACATCATTTCATTCCTTGAACATATCAATTAGTTCAAATCTTGGCCTAATCTTTCCAATATCTGCATCTTTGTATTTATGTTATCTGTCTGGTACTAGTTTGTATTTTATGCCTGGATATATATATTTTTTTAATATATTTTTATTGATTTCGGAGAGGACGGGAGAGGGAGATAGAAACATCGATGAGAGAGAATTATTGATTGGCTGCCTCTTAACACACCCCCCACTGGAGATCGAACCCCGAAACCTGGGCATATGCCCTTACCCAGAATCATACCAGAGACATCAATACCTGCCAGGCCAAGGCTCTGTCCACTGAGCCAAACCAGCTAGGGCTATGCCTGGATATTTTTGATATGAGCACCAGGTATTGTGAATATAAAGTCTAGATACAGAGTAACTATAAGATCCATGAGCTATAACATGTCAGATTGGTGGAAAGACTACAATCAGATTTTTTTTATTCCCTTGAGAACATGAGAAGCTCAAAATGGCCAATATGTATTCAGTGGAAATCATAAAACTGGCAATCAGAACAACCAAATCTGTGAGCCAAAACCCAGGAAATTCTGCAGGCGCCAATTTGAATTACTTGGAGAACATTAAATGAATCAGTGAAATATAAATATTGCATGAATTAAGGCAATATACAAAGAGTAGAAGCAGGAAAGATGAGAAGGACGAGTGCTGGTGGTACAGTTATAGAGTGGCCCAGGAGGCCTCTGAAAGGTCCTACAGGAAGGGAATTGGGGATGCAGGGATGCTGGGGAATAGGGACAAGGCCCAGCAGAGGGAGGGGAGTGCAGTGCCCTAGGCTGAGGCTGCAGCCTGTGGTGTGTCTAGGAGGCTGGCTGAGTGTGGGAGAGCGCAGGCGAAGTTGGAGCACTGATGTCAGACATGGGGCTGGGGTCAGACCTGAGGGTCAATAGGCCATGTTAAGGGGATTTTTCTGAAAGATAAGTAGGGGATCTTTGGTGCATTTTGAACAAGAGTTGATCTGACCTTGCTTTAAGAATATTCCTCTGATGGCGGCATTGAGATTGAGTAATAAATCTCTCTCCAGAGCCAGGCATAGGACCTAACCAGTAATCAACCCAGATGGTTCCGGTCACATGCTCCTGTGTTAGCTGTGAGCCTTTCTTACCCTGGGTTTTATAGTATTTGACACAAAAATTTAGGGTAAGATGCTGGTACTTTCTAGGAAACAAATATTACAGTGTTTTCAAGTCATTAATTTTAGAATAAACCTTATAACTTCTTAAATTAATAGGCTCTCATTTTAAAAGCACTCTCTCGCTCTACTACTCAGCAATACAAAGTAATGAACTACTGATTACTGTAGGAACCTGGCAGGATCTCCAGAATTATAGAAATATATATGATAGAATTCTAGAATATATCAAACTTCTAACCTTGATTTATTTTTGGGTGCTGGGTTAGAAATCGGTTTATCTTCTAAGTGAGATATCTCTGTAATGTTCAAGTTTTCTATAATAGGCATGAAAAATGTTTGCAATTAGAAAAAATAAGATTGCTTAAAGGGGAGGAGGGATATAGAGTCCCCAGACATGCACATCACTGGGTTCTTTCAGATGATGATAAATACCAGAAAGGCAGTGGAGCCTAGTTCTTCAGAAATGGCTCAAAAGCAAGAAAGCCTGAGAGTCTCCTCTTATGCACAGAGGAGGTAATGCAAGTCTGTGTCTCATGTTGCTGGGGAAATTGCGTTAACATGTGAACTATTTATGTGTCCATCACATCCTAAGGATTCAATAAGTGAAAATTACCTTTGTTTTCTCTGGGCCTTTCTTGGGCTGCACCTCATCTGGGAGAAAATGACAAGAGGAGGAAATTTCGACTAAAGCCACCCACTTCCCTAGGAGAGAAAGGCCCCGTGAATGGGTCTCTGGAGCACACAGGAAGCCGGGGCAGAGACTCCCCCATCCTATGGCAACCTTTCCCACGCCCTCCTCCAGAACGGGGAAGAGCTCGTTTCCCTTGGGAATTAGCAGCCCACCTGCAGGGATCCACGGGCAGCCTGGGGGGGATAACACCGATCCATCCTGCATCGCCCTCCCTCCGTCCACAGTCCTGACTCCTCCCATCGAGGATTAGCCCAAGGCTCCCAGACACCCTCCCTGCACCCCTTGCCCAGCCCGGGACAGGTAGAATCAGCCTAGACAACAAGGCGCCAGCCTGTTACTGGACAAGGCTCACGGACGCTGAGCACCCAGCCTCTCCCACACACGCACACTGGGGTTGCAGGTCGCGGGGCCCTTACCCAATATGGGTGCTTATAGGACTTGGGTCTGTGGAATTTGTTCAGGCAAAACTTAAATGGAGCCGTGCTTGGCAGGCTGCAAGCAGAGCAAACTGTATGTTCCCGTGTGCGTGCGTGCGTGTGTCCACTGGACCAACACGGGAAGAGGAATATGCGTGCGTGCGTGCGTGTGTGTGTGTGTGTGTGTGTCCCCACTGGACCAACACGGGAAGAGGAATGTGGAATGCTCTTCCCTGTGCGCTCGGCATCGTGAGTCAAAATGACTTAGGTTCCCAGGATACGCTGGGGTTTCCTTGTTGCTGAAAGGATTTCAAACAGAGTTTGTCACAGCGTGAGACGATGGGGACCCAACTTTCTCCGAAGAAGCAGTTGTCAGGCACTCAGAGGGGCGCCTGCCAAGATCCTTTCCATGCTGCGACCCCACAAAAGGTCACAGACTTTGCGTTCTTAGGCAGAGCTCATGTTTACTTTCTCACATGCAATCCACTCACACCAGTATCCTCCGTGTCCCAGGAGGGAAGGGACATGCACCCACTCCCTGGGGAAGGCTCTGTGGTGGCTCGCCCGCCTGCGCCCTCCTCTGGGGATCACATTCGCGCTCTGCTCCTCTAGCACCTGAGTTCCCCTCCCCTGCAGCTCCTGGTCCCTCCTGAGTCCCAGCTCAGCAGAGGGCAGTGGTACTCCTTGCAGTGGCCACATTGCCTCCTCTTTTGCCTGCGTTTGAGTCCGAGAGCTGAAAAAGCATGAAGGCCAGTGTCCCCGCAGGTCGCTCACATACCAGTACACTGTGCCCTCTACTAGGAAAGATGTTTGCGTGGCTGGCTCTTCTACTGTTCACAGTTGAGTCACCTCAGATGTCACCTCTGGCCTGACCACATCACCCACTGATGCTCATGCACCCACCCACTCTTCTTTCCGGGTGTGTATCCCATCCCGCTCAGAGCTGGAGCTTGGAGAATCTGTCTGCGGATAAACAGGCTTGGTGCAGCCGCCCACTCCGGTGGCTCCGCTCACACGGCATCACTCAGCTTGGACAGTGGCTGCACTTTCAGCCAGGCGTCCTGCGTCCCAGTCAGGGTCTTGGAGCTCCTGCTGCAGCTCTGGACTAACCTTAGAAACCACCCCTTACACGTTCTGCTTGAAGGGCTCTAAGCACGTCTCAGAACACCATTTCCAGACCTCAGGGCCTGGGGATGCGAGTAGGAGGCAGGGTCCCTGCCCACTGACCTCCTGACCCCAGCTCACAAGTCAGGGACCCAAAGTCTATCCATATCGTTCTTTCCAGAGCTGGCACCACTGACAAATGGGGGATTTGGAGCAGGACACCATCAGAGAGCTGGCTTGAAGCAACATCAAAAGGGGCCCCATCGATCCAGACCTAGACTGGGAGCCACTGCCAGGCAGGGCCAGGGCAGACCTCTACTGCCCCAGGGTCTCCACTGAACGGACCTTACACCCTTGGCTGTGGAGGTTGGCAAGAGCAGCGAGGCTGCAGCTGCTGAGGTGGGAGAGGGCCCCAGTCTATGTAAGCAGGGACCTTTCAAGTGAGGGGTTCCAGGGGTGGACTTTTGAATATTGTTAGATAGGACAAGATTCTAGAGGTCTGGGTGCTTCTTACTAAACTCTATTCCCGCTAAATGCTAAATACTTTGCAGAAGTAGCTGTAAACAGGAAGCGCTTGACAGGAACTCAACTGGTTAAGTGTAGCCAACTGCAAAGAAATCAACATGTAATTGATCAAATAGTGTATATAAGCAGTGGCTAAGGCTCCCTTCAGAGGCAGAGTTTTGTATGTGAGTCCCTGGTGTCCTTTACTTGCTGCAAGTAACTAAAACTACCTCAGGGTGGCCACATGCCATTCTTGAGTAGAGTACCGCGAGTACTGAACCCTCCTTGTGCTTGGCAACAGTAAGGGAGCTAGATTTCTACGGATGGTTTTTGGTCCTAAATGCTCTATGTGGGCTTCGCGGGATGCAGCATATAGTGGGGTCTTGGGATATTACCTAAGTGAGGGGAAGGGTCCATGGGTTGGTGTGAACATTATAGAGGGTTTTACTAGAGTGGGGACAATGAAGGAATGGCTGCATTTCCTGGGCTGTGTGAGCAACAGAGAGCGTTCCCTGAGTGAGGCGGGGTTTAGTGGAGGGAGAGCCACGGGATCATTCTAGGTTACAGGATGTCATGGGTACCTGGCTCATTGGGACTCCTAGGGTCTCTAGGCAAGGTGTGGAAATTGTAAGGCCTTTGGTATTGAGGTGTCTCAAATGGGGCATGGATGAGGCAGGGGGGCAGGAAATCAAGTATCAGGAGGTTCTCAAAATGGGAGACATGTTGGGCGTAGGCCTTAGGCCAGACATGTGGTCCCAGGAAGCATGAGCAACCACCCTGCTGAGGGCCTGGCTTTTCCTGAGCAGAATGTCAGAGCTCCTGTCTGGCTTGCCCAGCCCACAGAAGGTCAGGAGGCCAGGGGAGGAGTGAGACCAGTTTAATTTGGAAATAAGCTTTGAGTAGCCTCCTGATCAGAAGCAGCCCAAGGCCCCCCCAAGTGGGGAGGGAACAGCATGGGAGCTGGCCCTGGTGGTCCCACGAAGCTGGTCCTGCGCTCAGCAGGTACTGGCAGAGCCTGTGGAGAGAATGGGAGTCAGGTCCTCACAACATGGTCACTACACAGACGCCCCCCTCAGCCCTGGGCAACCCCAAGGCTGGGCTGGCTCGGGACAGTCCCGCTGGACACATAGCATATCATTTTTTAACTCTCAAATGCTATGGTCACCCTGACTGATGCCCAGAAGCCCCTCGAAGAAGCCCGTCTCACCTGGAGTGATGAATGGAACAGCTTTCTCAGATAAGGGGCTACGGAAGGAACATCAGATTAGTATACTTGGACCTTCTGTCCTCCACCAAGATGCCTGGTGCCCCCTCCCGAGAGGATCCCCAACTGCCCCCTTGTTATTCTTCCACGGTCATTTTAAACAATAGCAGAGCTCAGAGCTTTCTGATGTGGGGCCCCTTCAGCGTGGATTATCTGTGAATAATCCCACTGCAAGCCCAGGGAGCAGCCACGAAGCTGTCCTCTTTCTCCAAGTTATAGGACTTTTCCCCACAATAGTCTGCTCAGCTTGAGGTGCACACAATAGGGGCCTTATGCTCACCTGTGCTTGCGATTGTGCTTGCATTTGCACTTGCCACCTGTGAGAGGAAGAGACATCAATGCAAAGGGCCTGGGGACCCTGGGCCACCCCTCTTCTCACATGCCCTCCCTTCGCCCCATCCCGCCAGCCCCACAGCTCACTCAGGGCGAACAAGATTCCAGCGATGCACAGGAGCGCAGCGCAGATCATCCCGCCCAGCTGCAGGGCCTCCCAGTCTAGGAGAGGAGAGAGAGCTGGGGCCAGCCTGCTCCACCCCAGCACTCGGGCAAGGTATTTGTGAGCACAGAAAAAAAAGGGGGGGGGCGGTGTTTAAGGGATGATCAAGGAAGGCTTTTCTGAATGGTGGCATTTGATCTGAGTGAGGAGGGAGCTCAAGGGCATTTGGGGGCATTGGAGGACAGTGCAGACCCACGGGGGGGCTGGAGGGCAGCAGGGAACTGGGTGCTGAGAAAGGCAAGTGAGAGTGAGGGGAAGGAAGAAGGTTGGTGTGAGATACCTGGCCACCCAGCAGCCCATTGCCTGCAGCTACTTCCCCAGAATCTTCTTCCTAAACATGACGGGTGCCTTCCTTCCATGCTGGAAGGAGGTTCTTTCAAAGGCCAGCCTGCATGTTGGCCTTTGTTCTTGTAACTGACCACACTGGCGCTTTAATCTCCAGCCCCAGCCCCTGCCGCCCCTCCTTCCTCACCCCCTCAAGCCCCGCTCTGTCTGCATTGGGCTCCACATCACCCCTCACCAACCTCTAGCGGAGGTCCAGGATAGGCAAGGGAAGGGGTGGCGGGAGGGATATCAGCTCTTACCATAAGAGAAGGAACTGTCTTTATCTGTAGGAAAGAAAAAATAAGTAAGGACCAAAAGTTGGAGGCAGGATGTGGGATCTTAGAGGGAAAATGTGGGACAGCAAGAGCAGTTGGGGGCCTCACTCACCAATCAGGTCGTTGGCTTCCAAGGCAGGCAGGCCTGGGTGGGAGAAGCAGAGGATTTGGTGATCATTCATGACACTGGTCTCAACATGAATCAGCAGGCAGACCTCAGCCCAAAGGGCAAGGATAACAGCTCATTAGGAGGCACCCTGGGGCTGGTTCCCTCCCTCACACCCCCAGCCCCAGACAGTGCTGCTGAGGTTGTCCCCCATCCCTTAGCCTTTGGCCCCTCACTCACAGCCCTTGCTGCTATTTCTCAGGCTTCCTGCTATTTTTTCTTGCACTCCAATGGGATGGCGTGTTTGTATCTCTACTCTCTCCAGGGAAGCTTCCAACACAGACCCTAGCTGACCCTCTTCTTCCTAAAGAAATGGCGACGCTATTCTCTTCATGCCAACAGATGGTTACAGGCTTCCCCCAGTTCAATGACCCAGAATAAATTGTGCAATTTCCACTTCTTCCCTGTACTATTATTTTCTGTACTATCTCTTCCCTTTAAATCAACAGTGTACATGAGAGCACATTTATTCGAGCCCTAGCTGATTTGGCTCAGTGCATAAGGCATTGGCCTGTGGACTGAAGGGTCCCGGCTTCGATTCCGGTCAAGGGCACATGCCCGGGTTGCGGCCTCAATCCCCAGTGTGGGGCGTGCAGGAGGCAGCCCATCAATGATTCTCTCTCATCACTGATGTTTCTATCTCTTTCTCCCTCTCTTTCTCTCTGAAATCAATAAAAATATATTAACAACAACAACACATTTGACATCAGGCCCCCCTTGAGAGATGCTGCCCTGGTCTTCACTGCCTTAGTGGGAATGTGAGTGGCAGAGGGTCACCTCTGGAGGACTCACCTGCCAGCACAAGGAGAAGGCCCCAGGTCACTCCCTCCATGTCACAGCTGCAGGGCAGGGCTGTAGGGGGAGGTCAGGCTGGAGTCAGGTGGGAAAGCAGGGCCCCAACCCCAAAGGTGCATTTGCTTGTTGGGCCATCTTGGGCGGGTTACTAACTCCTGTTTCCTCATTAGAGATAATAGTGTGTTGTGGAGTTACACGGATTGATTAATACTAGTTAAGTGCTTAAAGCAGTGCCTTTGCATAGTGAGTGCCTATAAGGCTTTGTTAAAATCTATGTCAGGCCCTAGCCCATTTGGCTCAATGGATAGAGCCTCGGCCTGCAGACTGAAGGGTCCCGGTTGCGATCCCAGTCAAGGGCACATACCTTAGTTGCAGGCTCCTCCCCAGCTTGGACGTCGGGGAGGCAACCAATCGATGTGTTTCTCTCACAATGATATTTCTCTGTGTCTTTCCCTCTCTCTTCCACTCTCTCTAAAAACCAATGGAAAAATATCCTCGGGTGAGGATCAAAAAAAATAAAAAATATATGTCAGATGCCTGACCCAAGGTCAGCTGAACAGGGCTACTGTTCTAACTCAGGTCCCCCCCCCCCACTTTTTTTAAATTAAAAAAATGTTAAATTGCAGTTTACATTCAATAGTATTTTGTATTAGTTTCAGGTGTACCAATGCAGGCTATGATGCCAGCTCTCCTAACCGCACACAAAGGGCGCACCCAGGTCTGAGCTGGGCAGAGGAGCCAGCGGCTTACCAGGGAAGTGGGAGGACTGTGAGGGGCAGACAGAGCCTCCCATCCCACCCCAGCCCGGCAGGCACCCTGCTCCAGGCTGCCCCAAATTCCACTCAGAGTACAAGCTGCTATTGGCAGGAAACTGCTTGGTGGGTGGGACATCCATGTTTCGCCTGAGGGTGCCAGAACTGGTCCCTGGGTGGCCCTACCCTGGAGATAAGGCCCTTCCCAACTTTCTGCAGATTGTTAGCTGCTGGGAGGGATAGGGATGGTCAGTGTTCCATATTGAAGCCATTGTTACTATTTGCTGGGCTCAGCTGGAGGGAAGTCTAATCCACTCTCAGCCACTTGACAGGGAGTTACTTATCTCTCTGTGCTTCTTTGTCCTTAAAATGAGGGTATCTAGAATAGCAGCCTCGCCTCATAAGGCTATGACTGAATTAAGTAAGTTAATTTGTCAAGTCTAAGAACCGTGCTAGCACACAGTAAAACGTGTTACAATAATAAATACATAAATACCTAGGTCCTACTGCCATGAAGGGTTGGCCTTTAGCGTGCTGCCTCTGAAGGCAGGGGTGTGTCCTCTGAGCAGTCTCTGAAGCCGGCCCTCCTTTACACTAGCCTGCCTCTCTCCTCCTCTCCCGCCCTGGAATTCCTGGATCATGAGGGTTGCGACTCCATTTTACACATTCTTTAGCCAAAGGCTGGCTCCTGTTTCCTCCAGCCCCCAACCCGCCATCCATCTGACAGTGGTCACAGAATAGACACCTCCAGTTCTCAAACCCCCAAACACGACCCCTGTTACCGAGAACATCCAGGTACCTCCACCCCTTCCTCAGGCTGGTCCTCTGGGCCATCCCTCCACCCCCACCCCTCCACCTAGGCGCCTGAAGTCCTAGCAGTCGCCTACTCACCTGAGAGCCAGTTCTCCTGAGCTCACCTGAGGGCAGGGTGTGCAGAACAGGTCTGAGGAGGCCGCTGGGGCTGTGTTCAGCTTAGTGGGTTCCAGCTCTTTAAACCCAGCAGCCTCGCCTAGGGCAACAATACCTTCCAACAGGAGTGAACTGGTCAGACTCTGTAAGATTCCTACAGCTCTCTCTCCCCGGGTTTGCTTTTAAGGAGATGGCTGGCCCTGCCACACCCAGTGCAGAGCAGAGCTCCTGGGGGCTCCAGGGCAGCTCAGACACTGAGGTGGTGGTCAGGGTGAGGGATGAGCAGAACCTCTGACCCTTCCCTTGAGGAGAAGGGGACTTTTAAAAAAAAAAATATATATATATATCCTATATAATAAAAACCTAATATGTAAATTATCCCTTCGACCAGGAGTTCAACCAAGGGGCTGGGCCAGCCAGCCAACCGCCCGCTGCCCCTTACACTGGCCGGCCCCACCCTGGCCAGCAGGGGCAGCAGGCAGCCAGGGGAAGGGAGGCCCC